TGTAGAATACTTCTTACAAGGTGTAATGCAATAACTTTTGAACATACACTACTAAGACATTCTTATGAACTGTTTTATTGAAATTTTTCAAAGTTAATTTTCTGAAGTGACAGTTATATTATGGAATGCAAATGTATTTGTAAATTACAAGCCACCAAAATAGCCACCAGACTGAGACATTATTAATGAAAACACAAAATCATTATTACCATGGAAACTAGCTCTACTGCCAATTATATTTATTTGCTCCCAATTGGTTGCATAATTGTTAATTATTGATGTAAACATTTTCCACAAATGGAATATTTTCTGTTAAACAGTAAAGTTTTAGTATTATTAAGTATAAAGGTACATTTGCTCACAAATGGGAATAAAAAATAACATAATGAAAAATTGCTCTGAATGCACAATTTGTATCCAATGCATGGCCCACCCACCAGTCAATGATTGAAGCATGTCTATTTAGAACACCTGGTTAGGGTTAGCCAATCAGGAACCACTATTTCACTTTTTTGTTATTGTTTATTTTCGTTTTGTTTACAGCATTTGAAATTTTGAAATTAATTTAATTAATTCTGCCAATTAAATTAAAAAAAAAATTGTTTTTATCCTGTTAAATTTTCACCCTATTATTTACAAATCCAATAATCAGAACAATTACTGCAAATTTATATATATTCACCATTTGTATTCTATTTCATTTAAGTACAGCATTGCTTACCTAATATATTTATTGCATTGTGGGTAATATAACCACTTTTACTTATGTGGATTGTGAAGTACTAGTGTACTCCCTTTACATAAACTATGTTAATTGATATTAATGCACACAAATTAAGAAGATCAAGCTACTTCCTCTGGACATGGGAGATTTATAAGAACTGTCAAGGTTTCTTGCACTGGGAACTGTTCATAGCCAACTCAAACGTGTGTACTGTCAGAGGTGAAAAATCTGCAGACAAGATGTCCATCAAGTTACTAGTACCTGGGTATATTGTATAGAATAGATAACTGTTCAAATACCACTTGTGGTGAGTGAATACTGCCAATAAAGATAACTGAAAGATAAAATAATGTAAGAGTTATACAAAAGTTTTAATATGATTAATTTGAAAAAAAAAAGAATTTTATGGCAGCTGTCAACAATTAAACAAAAAAATATTTCACTCAAAAAAGTTTAATAAGGAAAGTGAGTACTGGATATCTACTTTTAATAAACCACATTTTTACAGTATTTAATATAAAATTGTTCATACTCTTATACTTGTATTCTTTATACCCATACCCTTACTTTCTACTGACCAATCCCTCAGTCTTCTGCAAATCCCCCAAACTGGTGTGTAAAGAAATCTAGCAACATTTAAGCACATACGGATTTCTGAACATGCATTACATAAATAATTTTTTTTGGACTCACTGTCACTGCCGTGGCATTCTTTTATGTCCTCTATAAAGAGATTGGGCCACCCGTCTGGAAACTGTTCCCATCTTATCAATTTCTTCAGTTTCACTTTCTGGCATTCTCTGGATGCTTGTCTCCCAAGGCTTTCTAAAAAAAAAAACAGTACAAGTTCATTTGTACACCACAATCTATAAAACAAAAAAGTAATAGCATTGCCCAGTGTACTATAATTAACACTGTGTGGGGGCTAACCAGTACAAAGCATCAACTATAGTCACCTTTATTGTTACAATATAACAAAACAAACCTACAGCATTGTTTTCTAAAATGTTGAAGTCTGTAGCAATGGGAAATAGTTGAAAAACAGCATGATAACATGAAGAAAATTGTCTAATTTAAAACGGGAGGGTCGTCACCCGCGCACGTGCAGGAATTGAGTCCCAAGTGACAATAACAACACACACTAAATATGCAAAGGCTCAGTGGCAGACGCTTGTTTGTAAACAATGACACGCTATGGCCATCCAAAGCATGTGCAGGTGACGACTCCCTCGCTTTAATAAATTAATATTCAAGTTTGTTGTAGTTTATTGATATTATTAATTTAAAAAAAAATTTGGAAATAATTTCACATGTTTTTAAAACAGATATTGATAAAAGGAAAGTTGTTTTAACGACGGCCTATGGACAACCAACTTTCGAAACACTCCATCTATGTTGTACAGCGCCCTCTCGTACCCATCCCGATTTAATTCGAAACTACCACGCCCACCACGGTAACTGACATTTGCGACACTTCTGGGGTGTTGGTTGTCAACCCTTTGTACCAGCCCAACATTGCATTTTGCCTTTGCGATCAACTGAAAAAATGGGAAATGTAATAATTATCTATATGACCTCCAAGCGTGCATTGTTGTGTACGGTTTAAATATAGTGAGCAAAAACGTTCAACACTGTCAACAGACCGATCGTAAACACAACAATATAATAAAATGACTACCTTTGCAACAGCGCCGGAGGCAATGCTTGACTCCATAACCAATTCGTTGCATTTATCAGCGACAGCCTCTGCCAACTCGTTCATGGTAGGATGGCAAAGCAGGACGGCAGCCGATCTTTGGCGCGGAAAATCAACAATATTTACTATCGGGGCCGCCATGACGAACCTCAAACTGGACTGATTTATTACCTTTTGAGAGGAGGTATCAATATCGCCGTCAATGTAGTCAATACGTCCACAGTAAGAAAAATATAAAACGCACGTTCTACATTTAATGTTGATAGAATATCTATAACAAATCCCGGTCTTCTGCTAAATTAATTTTGCACAGTCAATACGTTATTTTAAAATCCCACCTGTAAGCTGTACTACCTGTTCAAATAATGGACGATTCAGCTACCCATAACCCACCTGGATAAAACGCGCATGGTGGAAGACGCCATTTTGATGCACTGTTTGTGTTGCGGTTTTCAAATACGCGACAGTGTACACACTTTTTAAAAATCAAGGATAGCTATCGGATTATAGGTATGTAATCATTCAGAATATTTCTTTCTATCTTTTTGAAGTGTCGGCGCATAACCTCTTCGACGCGCGATTGATTTTACGTGATTTGAAGTTAGCAGACTTGACTGAGTGATGACATTGTCACTGCGTTGCTCAAATATACGGCATTTTGTAATGATGTGTGTTACTAGATCTTTCCTCGTTCACTTAACATGTCTTGTTTATCTCAGAACCGGCGTAACACGTTCGTTGGAAGCTGGTAAATTTGTAAGAAATCTGCCAACAATATGGGCGACAGCGATGAAGAATACGATCGCCGTAGAGGGCGCGATAAGTTCAGAAGAGAGCGAAGTGACTATAATGATCGACGAGATCGTGAGGATCGTGGTAGACGTGATGACTGGAGTGATAGGTATTGTTGAAAAACTAGTATCAATTTTCATAAACATGTCAATACGAGGTCTTGTGAAACAACAAATGTATTGGGTTATCACTATACAAGACACTATACAAGAGGAATAAGAAACCACAGCATTTCCTTTGTAGTCCTTATTCT